TCTCAAGAATCACTGATTTAGACTGATATAATCATTTCCACTCATAGTCCCATCTCAGGTGCACAGTAGCCCCCTGTGGCTGATGGCTACCATTTTGGAAATCACAGCTCTGGATAATGTGTTCATCTCAAAACACAATGTCACCACAAGAAAGCCAGCACCACAGCAGCCTGGAAGCCTGAGTTGGGCGACTGCCAAGCAGAATAGTCAGTGCACTCAGTGGACAGGGGGTCTGAGGTGTCCTTGAGAAAGTCCTTGCTCTGCACAGCTGACATGCTGGAGGGGCTCTTGCTTGCTGTTCCATGAGGTAGGAATCAGCTGGCTGTGCTCTCAGCCCCCACCCCCCACCCCAATAACTTCCAAGAAAATGGTAGGTTGCATCTAGTAGAAACTTAACCACATCCAAAGACAGAACAAGAAGAACCAGTGAGACAGGGATCTTGCTGTGTGATCCTGCCCTAGGGGATACTGGGCCATGTATGAAGCCCCCACCAGTGGGCCTGCTCTGTGAGAGCCAGGGGTCTTTGATCGTCTTGGTCATTGTCGTTTTCCCAGAGCCTAAACGAGACACATTTGGAAATCTTTGCTGAGGGAATGAATAAAATTTCTGGGAGGGTCACCATGTACCCAGCCAGGCCAAGCAGTAACTATGCAGGTGACTGTACTCAAAGTTGTGACACATGCCTGAGGGTGCCACCAGGGGACACTGGGCAGATTCCATATCCAGGAAGCCTGAGGGACTTCTGAGGGTTGGTGTCATGAGTCCCAAAAGAGGGGCTGCATGGGGCCAGCGTGCACAGGTACCGCGTGGCCAGAGCTTCAGGTTACTACAGGACCCGTTTTGGGGGATGTGAAAGCAGCAACCAGGCTGCCACCCCAACCTTGTCTCTTCGCTTCCCTGGTGCAGCCCCCACTCCAGCCACTGGGCCACGCCCAGGTACAGGGTGGGTTTAGGGGGGATGCAGACACTCTAAGCACCCAAAGTCACAGAGTGTCTGTCTCCTAAACCCAACAGATGGGAGTCTCTGTGTTTGTGAGGCAGGGGCGGTCCCTGGGACAGGTTGACTATGGGACTCTCGGTGCTGAATCAAAATGTCTTAGAGAATGGGGATGGGTGGTCACAGGGCTCCAAGAGGGGCGAGGGGTTGACTGAAGATGTCTGGATACCCATCTACACACACTTGAATTTCCACCCCACCAGGCTCAAGGCCCAGTCTGATCCCATGGACCTTCTCCACCCCCTAGTGGCTGCCAGATGGAACAACAGCCCTCTGGCAAATGTCACCAGCTTCAGACACCCAGGAACAAACCCTACAACTCACTTTCATCTGCAGAAATTCAGAGGAGTGGATGAGACGCTGGCTCTACCTTCAAGATGGGTAGCAGTGACCCTCACTCAACAACACGTTGGCTCTCTGGAGAGAGATGGCTGCTCAGTAATGGGAGACCCTGGTCAGTCTTGCATGTCTGGAACCCTTAATCTGGTCCTCTGCCTGATGAAGACCCTTAATCTGGACCCTCTGACCCGGGTGCTTTGGGGAACTGAATGTGAGGATGCCTGTGGGTGGCTATAGCACCTGGCAAACACGATGTGCTCAACAAGTGACTATTCGATTTTTTTAAACAATCAGAAAAAGCCTGGCATTACCCACTTCGAGGAGTTTCCTTCATAACCTCTATAAGACCTGCTAGTGGTATGCCAGCTCAGCAAATAATTCTGTCTTCCCTCTTGGCTGACATAGGGCGGTAACTCTCCCGGGAGCTGTCCTGGGCATTGGGGAGTTCTGAGCAGTACCCCTGGCCCCCATCCACTACTAGATGGCAGGAACACCCCGAGTCATGACAACCATAGATGTCCACAGACATGACCCAATGTCCTCTGAGGGGCAGAATCCACCCTCAGTTGTATGTAAAGGGATCAAAGCCAAAGAAAATGTGTTTGGAATTTTCAGCTACTCTGACATCCCGCTGACATGTTCCAGTGAAACTCAAGCACCACACTGAGCTCAGACTGCTGGAACCTTTTGTCTCCAGAAGATGTTCCCAAACTTCTTCCCTAGAAAAATTCTTGGTAGCACATGTGAAAATGTAATTAGCAGCCTTTTTTTCTCTGTGGTAATGACACAGATTTGGGTCTGTAATAAAGACGAATGAGTCCCTTTAGACCCGAGGGCCAGACTGGGCAGGGTGCCCCCAGGAGAAAGAACTGCTGAGAATCAGGGCCAGGTTGTTCTGTAATAAAGATCAAAGAGTCCCTTTAGAACTCAGGAGGGCCAGACTGGGCAGGGTCCCCAGTCAGTATTGCTGACATCAGCACTTGGTCAATCTCTATGGGGGACTCCTCTGGGCACTGTGGGGTGTTGAGCAATATTCCTGGCCCCCACCCACTTGATCCCAGGAGCACCCCCAATTGTGACAACCATAGATGTCACCAGACATTGCCATGTTCCCTGGGGGTGGATCACCCCAGTGAGACCCACTAGTACAGATGAATTTCAAACAGCTCCAGGATTTAAGTGCAAAATATGTAATCCAAACACAATGCAGGTGAATTGATTGTTTATATAATCTTGAAATTGAAGAATGCCTCCCAAACACAAAGAAGAACACTTGTGTCTGGGAAACGTTTATAGTTCCAGCTACTTACAGCAGAACCACCACCAGCCAAGTGGGAAGACACAATCAGAAAAATAGTCACATGTGACAGACACCAGAGAGTGTCCAAACAGAGAAATATAGCAAGTTCCAAAAAATGTGTGCAAAGAGCTCACACAGATCCATGAGAGAGAGACACCCTCAACACAAAGGCAAGTAAAAAACCACAGCCAGGCCACTGGCAGCAGAAGCTCCTCAGAAAAAATGCTAAATTCATGAATAATGCAGGAGACCCAGACTCAGCAACCATGCAAGTGTCCCGGCTGGTTAGATTGGTAAAGACGTGAAAACTATAGTTGGGATGGTAGGAAAAGGGGTCCTGGGAATAAAAAATGGTGCACTTCTGGAGATCTTTGTGGCTCAAAGTAAAAAATGTAAATGAAAACACCCTGATTTAAACACACACACATACACACACACACACACACACATACCACAAACCTACTTATAGGAACTTACCCCAAATAATAAGCAATCAAGGTTGTACAGAGTTTGCACAAGGACATTTGTCCCAGAGTATAGAGGAAAAAAGAAAGAAAAAAATGAGAAAGAAAAAAAACCAACCTCAGAAGCCAACCAAGAGGATATCAGTCAAATCAATTATAAAATCATTTTAAAGAAAAAAATTACGATTTGTCTATAAGGTGAAATGTTAAGCCAAAGTCAGAAAAGATGGAAATTTAGTTTTACTGATGAGGAACAATGCTCATCAAGCAAAATGGACTCATTATAGAAAAAAGTCTACTTATGTAAAATCATTGCGTGAATGTAATTCAGAGACTTGAGGAGGATGCTCACCAGATGTCAGCAATGGTCATTGCTGGCAGGGGTTTGGGTGACACTACCTTCTCTGTACTTGTCTGCATTTCCACTTTCTTTATACAGGAAGTCAGTGTGATTGACACCAAAGAGAACGAATGAGCGGGGCTTGGTGGTCCACATGCTGCGAAGACCACACACCCAGCCCCAGCCACCACCTGGCCTGACTACCCTCACACAGTTCAACACAATCCTAATCAAAACTCCATCTGAATTTTTGTTAGAAACTGGAAGTTTATTCTAAAGATCACATGAAAATTCACCACACTCCCCTCTGGCTGGCGACTTTGTGCAACAGGAGGTACATTTTAAATATGCTCTGGACCTAGGCTGAGCATAAACAAGTCAGGCAGACACCAGGGCTCCAACCTCAGCCTTGGTCGCTGGCCTCAGGGACAGCCTCTCTCTCTAGCTTAGCTAAAATATATTTTTTTAAAACTTTACTGAAGTGCACTTTACTGTCTATAAACTTCACTAGTTTGAAGTGCACAACTCAAAAGATTTTCTCATGCATTCACAGAGTTGTGTGACTGTCCCTGCCACGCAATGTTGGGCCCTTGCCTATACTCCATTCCTGGTGCTCATTCACACCAACTCCCTCCCCACCAAAGGCCCCGTCAACCACTATAGGTTTGGTTCTTCCAGAAATGTCATCTAAATGAAATCATATATGTTACCTTTGGGATCTGCCTTCTTTCCTAACATTTTTTCTTTCATACAAATACACACACTGAGTGGGAATAGCCAACATTATAAAGACATCTCTCTCAAGTTTATCGATCAACACAATCCTAATCAAAACTCCATCTGAATTTTTGTTAGAAACTGGAAGTTTATTCTAAAGATCACATGAAAGAGAAAACTCCGTAAGAGTAGCAAAGACATTTATGAAAAAAGTAGGAGCAGGGAGGCGGGCCTCCCTGCCGGGCAGGAAGCATACAGAGAATTATAGTAAACGCACAGGCAGGTGGTGGCACAGAGCACACGGCAGTCTCTAATTGTCACATCATTTCCTCTTCCCACATTATAAAAGCCACTCAAACTCCTTTGGGGAATAAGACCAGAGATAAACAGATAGGAGCTAAAGAACAGGACCTGAGTTTGTTCCTAATTGATTAAAAAGGAACCTTCCTGAAGCTGCTGCAGTATTTTCCGGTCTGCAGGGTAGGTGACTGGTTTCAGACATGCACCACGTCCAGTGACTTAGTTCCGCTCCTGGCAATGGTGAAGCTAAGACAGCTGAAAGCAGGCCTGCACAGGTGTACTCTCTCTGCCGACCCCATGCACCAGCCCATGTTCCCCTGCTTCATGGGCACCTGGAGCCCAGGAGTAGAAGACATTCCCTGTCTGTCACTCCCGTGCGCTCTTGGCAGAAAGGACAACCCTCAGAGAAGAGTTAGGCACGCAGTGAGGATACATGTTCCAATGGCAAACCAACCTCTTAACTCTCACCCTGGCTCAGAACGACCAACCAACGCCTGCATGAACTGTGAATGTGGAGGGAAAAAAAACATTGTGACACCAACCTGTGTGCAAGGCCTGGCTGTCTTCAGCGTCGAGGTTTCAGGAACCAAGTGTCCACTCCCTGGAAGAAAAACAGAAGACTTTAGTTGAGTAATATGTGGCCAGAAAGTCAGGTGTCATTGTAGGCACTGGCATCAAAGAGTCACAAGTTTATGATTCAACAATGGTAAAAAATCATTTTGGGAGTTCTGTCTTTTGGTTACTCTGAGAGACACTGGGGACAGCATAGATAAGATGCTTCAAGATGCAGAGAAGTATATTTGAGAAGGCAATTAGAGCCCTGGTATGGCTCAGTTGGATGGAGCTTCGTCACATATACTAAAAAGTTATGGGTTCAATCCCCACTCAGGGCACACGAGAGGCAGCTAATGGATGTTTCTCTCTCACATTGATGTTTCTCTCTCTCTCTCTCTCTCTCTCTCTTTCCTCCCTTCCCCTCTTTCTAAAATCAATGAAACATATCCTCAGGTGAGGATTTCTTTTTCTTTAAAGGCAATTAGAGAATGACATTATCCCTAATAAATTTCCACATGTTCCAAAACAAAATTAAATTAGAGGATTGGATGTTTACATGATCTTTTAGAGTTTATAAAAGACATTCACCTGCATCATTTGAACCTCATGGTTCCCTAGAAGGAAGAAGGGGAGACTGAGTCAACCTCCTGCTCCAGGGCAACTCACCCAGGTTTGCCTAAGGAATTATGAGAACTGAATGCATTGTGAGATCATGGACAGGGTCCTGGGGACAGAAAGAGAGGAAACTAGTGAAATCTGAATAAAGAGTAGAGCTGAGTTCACAGAAATGTACCCATGTCTGTCTCTTGGTTGTCACAAATGTACCATGATTATGGAAGATGTGACCATTGGAAAACTGGGTGATGAGTAGATGAGAACTTGCTGTACTATCTTTGAAACTCTTCTTAAAATTTAAAACTATTATAAAATAAAAAGTATATTTAACTGGTCAGTGTGGCTCAGTTGGTTGAGTGTCCGTCCTCCTATGCACCAGGATGTCACTGGTTAGATTCTCAGTCAAGGGTGTGCAGCAGTCAGCCAATCAATGTTCCTCTCTCATTGATGTGTCTATCTTTCCCTCTCCCTTCCTCTCTCTGAAATCAATTACACACACACACACACACACACACACACACACACACACAATTTTATTTAAGTGTATATAACTCAATAAAAAAATTTAAGTGCTGGTTCTTTTTTCTGAGTTCCAGGCTTATTTGATGTTAGTGAAAGGCCAGAATGGTGAACTAAAATCCCCACTGTCACCTGCAGGTGGCGCCACTACCACAGGAATGTCCTAAGCTCCTGGGGATCCTGGAGCTGCTTTTCCAGGCTCCCACTTAGGACAGGAACTGCTGGGGCACTGAGGCAAGAGGGGCACCTGGGACTACCGAGCCACTGGGCCAAACAGCAGTGGCTGGAAGAGATGAGAGATGAAAAGGGCTGAAGCAACATGCCCATGGACCTGGAGGCCAAGACTTACCTCAACCTTGCAGGAACCGTCTATGCATACAATCCTTTAACTTTTTATTTTTGAATCAATTAAAGACTCACAAGAAATTTAAAAACTAGTAAAGAGGAGTCCCAGGCACCATTCACCTAGTTTCCCAAATCATAGCTCCTTAGGAACATTATAAAAACTACAAAACAGTGACTAATAAACTAGGCACCATTTTTTTAGACAGTCTTGCTGAGATATCTCTCATGTCACGCAATTCACCCATTTGAAGCGCACGATTCAGTGGTTTTTAGTATGTTCACAAAGTGGTGTGACCATCACAACAATTAAATTTAGGACATTTTCATCATCCTTAAAAGATACCCGGTCCCCATCAGCAGTCACTCCTCAGCCTCTGGCAACCACTAACCCACTTTCTGTCTCTGAGAATGTGCCTGTTCTAGACATTTCACATCAGTGGAATCACACACTGTGCAGCCTTTTGCATCTGGCTTCTCTCACTGAGCATCATGTGTTCAAGGTCTACCCATGTTGTAGAAGCATCAGTGCCTCACTGTTTTTCATGGCTGTGTAATATTCCAGTGTGTGGATGGGCACATTGTTTATCCATCATCCACTAATGGACATTTGGGCTGTTTCCATCTTCTGGCTATTGCCACTTGTGCTACTATGAACACGGGTGTCTTATGAATCATTTTAAAATAGTTTCTCACTCTATCTTCACATCTGCCAACTGCAAATTTACCCATCCCCATCCCTTTAACACAAGCTGCTGGCTGCTGTCCTTTAGTTCTTGGACTTGGACTTGAGCAGTGAGGTGACCTCTACTCCTACTGCTCTTGGCCCAGACCAGTTTGGGCCAGGACAGGGAGCCACCTGGACAAACACATCCATGAAGCTCCATCCCCAAGGGCACGAGATGGCAGGCTGTGAGCTCTACCAGCTGGCACCAGGCTGTTCTCATGACCTTCACAGGCTCGCTCACCCAGACAAAATGCTGGACTTTTATTTTCTCATCAGAGTGAATCCCAGGCACCCCCAGTAGGATCAGCAGTGAAAACAGGAAGTGGGACCTCTCCACAGGTCCTGCTATAGAATTTGCAGAGCCAGCAGAAAAATGCAACAGTGGGACCTCTGCTTCAAAAAATCAGTGCAAATTTTAAGATGGCAACAGCAGGGTGCGGAGGGGCCTGCAAACCCCACATAGACCCTGCCCTTAGGAACTGCCCACAAGGCAGGGTAGATAAACCTCAGACACAAATAATGAATACTCTGGGTAGAAAATCCCAGGTGCTGTGAAGGAGAAATAAATCCTCAAGGAAACAGGGGCATCATTTACCATTGTGGTGATCAGGGACACCCCTAAGAAAGGATTCATGCTTACTCTTGTCATGGGCAGCACTTATTACAACCTGTAAGCCCCACCGACACATGCCTTTTAAAAAAAATTGAGACATAATTCACATACTATAAAATTCACCCTTTTAAAGTGTGCGATTCAGTGGCTTTTAGGATATTCACAAGGCATGCAACTATATAACCCCAGGGCATGTCAGTGCCCCCTGAAGAGACCCTGTGCCCTTCAGCATCATATGGTTCAAAGTTGAGTCTCCCCAAAAGAGACAAGGTCCCAAATGGCAAGAATGTCATGTGTTTTGCTTCCATGAGGTTCCAACAGCCTTCACTGAGCCAATCCACAAGAGGGCCTCAGTAATCCCTGGGACTGTGTATCATCCAGCTGGTGCTAAGGGAACAGCCTGCAGAGCAGGAGGATGAGGGGAGAACAGGCTGACCCCAGAGCTGAGTGAGGTTGGGCCCCTTCCTGCCTGGAACCTGGCCTGAAATGGGACTAACGCTTGGGAACCCCACTGCATTTCTGTGGGCTGGGCACAGGGGCATGTTCAGTGCAGCCTTGGCTTGGAGCCAGCCCTATAATTCAGGCTAGTTGTCAGCTGCAGACTTCAGCTGTGTCATCTGTCACCTTGAAAAAAACCCGCGATTTCAAACCAAGAGTACTTGAAGGTCTTCCTTCGTTAATTTACTGGTGGTTTCTGTTTTCCTTATAATTTGAAAAGGGTTCAATAGATATGTCAGATTTTCAGTTAATGTGACCAAGCAGTGGGTGGTGGGCAGGGACACAGATGACCAGACCCTTAGTTCCCAAATCTGGATTTTCGAAACTGCCAAAAACAGGGCCATGAAATTGGCTTCGGAGGCTCCCTGATAAAGCAAGACAGGCCGGGGGATTCAGATTGCTCTGAACCCTTTAGAACCTATCATTAGTAAGGAGCTGAGAAACCAGCCCTGACTGGCCCAGGATGTCACATCTAGGCAGGAAGCCAGCAAGTGACAACCTGCTTCGCTAGATCAGAGCTACCAGAACTTTTTCAAAGGTTTGCACAACCAACAAGTCTTGTGTGGAAATGCTGCCCCCCCTCTAGAATCCGGGTCCCCCACACACACTGCTTACATTCAGGGTAATTATTCTCTGTGGGGCTATCCTGGACACTGTGAGGAGCTGCAGTATTTCTGGCCCACCTACTCGATGCCAGGATCTCCCAAGGTCATAAGGACCTTAGATATCCCCAAATGTCACCCAGTGTTCCCTGGAGGGAGGAGGGGGAAACACTGTACTACAGTTTCCTGAGTTGCTGTTTCATCTTGAAGGGTGAAACCCTTTTCGGGCAGGACCCTGTTATCAATCTCATGAGCTTGGGCAAAGGGGTGCTCACAGAGAAGTGGGGGGCACAGGGGCCCATGGGCTGTGCAGGTGGGATGGCATGTGGTTTTACCCATCAATCCTGAAGCAGGGGCCCTGGGCAGATTTCAAGGTACACCTGAGACCCAGGCTTGATTACACTCTCCTGGAGAAGCAGAAAAGAGACACGCCATCGCTGTCATTCCTGTCAGATATAAATACGTTTAAATTGTGTGCTCTCACCCTGGCCGCTGTGGCTCAGTGGATTGAGCATGGCCCCATGCACCGAAAGGTCATCAGTTGATTCCCAGTCAGGGCACATGCCCAGGTTGCAGGCTTGATCCCCCATATGAGGTGTGCAGGAGGCAGCCAAATGATGTTTCTCTCTCTCTCACATTGATGTTTCTCTATCTCCCTCTCCCTCCCTCTCTAAAATCAATTAAAAAAATTTTTTTTAAATTGTGTGTACTCTACAGGGTGAGTTTGGTGAGTATGGTTCTCAGGGCAGGGGGACAAAGATACTACAATGGCTGTGGCCCTCCAGGGGCCCCAGTACATAACAGACACACAGTATAACAGTGCTGTGAGAATTTCCTACTGAATAGGAAATAAACACTGGCTGATAAACACTGGTTTCTTCTGAAGGAAGAAAAACAGCATTCCACACTAATTATATGGCAGGAGTCATTGGGGGAAGATGATGATGCCAGATGGCCCTGTGGGGTCAGACAGACGTGTGCTGAGTGCTGACAATGGCACTTAATGGCTGCGTGTTTTATGTCCCCTCACTTCATTTTCTCAGCTGGGATAGAGGGAAGACTATCTACTTGGGGGCTGAGAAAAAGATAAATTTGACCATGAATGCAAATCTCACAGCACACAGAAAGTG